GGGGGGTAGCCTTGTATTTGAACTGAGATTATGATTGCATACAAATATGAACTCAACTAACATCAATAACTAATAAAGTAACACACATTGTTGCATGAATCTTCTTCATCCTCAAAGGCTATCACTATGACAATGGATGTTGCAGTATGTTTCAGGACCTGCATTTGCTTCTTAATTACCCACGGCTTTCAGTTTAGAGTATGTTGCGGGTGAAAATAAAGAGTGTTAATTGCCACATGCGTATGAATAATATGATATACCATTTGACTCCATGACAACACCCTGAAAATGATTCATGTGTTCAGTATGAAATTATGTGCTTACTTTCCCTTTCATTGTAGCCGCATTATGTTGATTTTCTATAAATGGATTCGTATTTCCACCCAAAGGTGAACATAATATGTGAATGGATAAAATAATGCAATCATTCATCATTCACTAACATGTTATGTTCTGGTTCCTGGCTGCATATTTTCTGCTGAAGCACTGTTTGTGCTCAAGTAAAACCTATTAAGAAAATATTGCCTCACCAAGATGCTGTTTCATATGAGAAGGAAAAAATCTATTTAGTTCTTTTCCAATCCAGTGGCTTGTAGAGCTAGGGATTTATTTTCCCGGGCCTGGACTGAAGAGAAAGGCTTTACTGTTTGCTGTCCAAGCTTCAATTCTATTAGATCCCCGGGGTGAGATATGGATTGGCTCGGAGTCTAAAAATTATAAATACCTTGTCAGTGGTGAGAGTAAAGAGGTACTTTCAGCTTTAGCCCCAAATTGGCCTCTAGATTACAAATTCAGCTACTGCCATTAGTGTATAATTAGCAGAATGATGCAAAGTTGGGAATGTAAACCAGGAGCAAACAAAAATGGTAACACTTATTATGCACTGTGAAACACAAAGGGAATTCTGTGCTAAATTAACCAACACGGGGCAAGCAGACACCAATCACTGTTATACATTGTCACATTATAAGTGACCCCTCAGCAGGACAGCTTGAGTTGAATTAAGTCAAGCTTTGAAGGAAATCCTCATACAGAAATAAATGAGTACTCATAACACAAAGCAATCTTTGGGCTGTCAGCCATGTTACTGCCTATTCTGGTTTCTTTTTTTCTCACAAATGAGTTTATTACATGTGATTAATTTCTTACTGTAAACAAGTATACATTCCATATAATTCATAAAATGACAATGAAGTCTTTGGCCTCAATCAATACTTTTTTGGTTTTCTGCATATTTTTCAGATTAATTTGATCAGATCTTGTTTTGAGGTTTATTGTTTGACACACTTCTATGATATAAACAGCATGATGGCTGCACATTTCAGATTTTGTTTGCTTCACTGATTTCCAACACAAAGAAAATGGAACAAAGATTGAAATTAGTTTTTGTTTTGAATTGTACTTACCTATCAAACACATTATGTTTTACTAAACCCCCCCATTTATCTCTTCTTCAGGTCTGCAGGTCATTTTCCCAGAATACCTGCAGGAGAAATTTGTCCAGTCAGCTCTGAGCTACATTATGTGCAATGGAGAGGGGGAGTACGTGTGCCATGACAACCAGTGCATCTGTCAGTGTGCTGACGAGTATCCCCAATGCAACTGTCCCATCACCGACATCCAGATCATGGAGAACACCCTGTTGGGGATGTCTGAGTCCTGGGCCGCCTCCTACAAAGACTTTGAGAACTCTGGTAAGCTGAAAATCCCTCCTCCTTTTTCAAAGGACAGTAATGAGCACACATGTAGAGCTCAGGCAGTTATGGTAATCTCATAATCTGGCAATTTTCTTTTTTCAATTTTCATTTAGAAACACATTTCATAATTTGGCAGCTTCTGCTCACTGCCAGCTCTACTCAAATAAAAGAAAATTATGTTTTCTTATGTTCAGCGCAGAGGGTAGTCTAAAACACTCATGGGCCATCTTAAGAATTCACTGACAAATAAGTAACAAGAAGCAAAGTAACAAAACCTAACTATTTTGTTACTTAGATATGAGGATTTGTTGTATACAAGGAATGAATTACTGCTACACATTCATATGTCAAATGCTAAAATGTCACAGCAAATTTCTCCATTTTCATTTAATGCAAATGCAGACACTAGGGGTGGCAGTAAAATACTGGACACAGTGGGAAAAAGCACTCCTAGTGCCCATTTGTTACATGGCATGACACCCTGTTAATCTATTATTTATATGATATAAAAGTGTCCCAATAAAACCTGCCAGCAACAGATAAATATATTTATGTACCATAGAAGAAAGTTAATGTGAGTCATGGAGGTCATTGGGTGCAGTACATCTGTAAAGAGGTGCTTCAAAATGAAGTACGCATGAAGAGGCAAAAAAATTAAAAAAAATATTTTTCTATAAATTAATAACTGGCCTAGACAACAAAATGCAATTCACATACAAAATTAGAATTGAAGGAATCAGTGACAGTCAGAGAGCTGGTGTGGTACAGGGGTCCAAACTTTATGAGTTTGTCTTTTTGTTTTAGCACAAGGGATAAGTGTTTCCAATTTATTGTACATATCCACAAAACAAGGAACAACAATGTCCAATAATAATATTTTAAAAAGATTTTAAATTCATTTTTAAAGATCTTACTTGTAAAATGTAATTTAACCAAATGTAATCACTACAGAGAAATGCCCTGCCCTACTATAACGTATCTACAGTATGTTTACCCACAGTGCGCTATTGACTACCATTGACTGATCCTCTGGAAAAAAGCTGTAATTCAGATGTCACATTGATTTAATAAAAGTTTGGAATACATTTGATCCTAAATCTACTAGCCACTACAAGAGTACTAGCTAGTTTAGTTGATTTGGTTCCATACCCTTTTCTTAAACTCTGCATTGACAATGCCTAAGATTAAAGGTTGGGAAACAATATATTTGATTAAATATTTGCGATGTCTGGGACCCAACAAATTGAGAAGTAATGGCATGAGAGGTAAAGTGGGGTTTCATTGTGAGAGCTGTAATCTCTAGATAATGATGCTGGGTGGCATATGATAAGAGTCATTCAAGGGACTTTGTGGGCTCTTTGGAAGCTGTATGAAGGAAGGGTTACTTGTTGGCTTTGAAGCTTGTGTGAAATTACTTGGTAACTGTTGAATTGGCATAAGGGAATAACTTGATAATGGAATTTTTTGGTGAGGGAATCAGACAACTCCGAATACTGTGTGCTGGAGACACCTAGCTTTTCTAGGAAAAGAGCGAGGGAGGTAACTCGCATCTCTGAAACTGGGTGGAGGAATACGGCAAGTTCAAAACAGGGGAGGAGAAGGAATATGGCCTTTTTGAAGAAAAAGGGGGAAGGGAGCTCTGACATGCCTGGGAGGAGAGTGGAGGAAATTCTGACATTTCTCGGCTGTTGCTGAGAAGGAGCTCTTAACTCTGCGGGTAATGCTGTTAAACTGTCTTGGATAAGTCAGATGGAGGGTGCTGGCTCACTGTACAGGTGCATTTCTTGAATATGGGGATCTGTTTATGTAAGGTTTGAGTGTGGATAAACTTTGCATTCTCTCCAAGAACAATTGTGTTAACTTCTCCTACAACAACTATTGTTTAGCACCAGGGCACCAGACATCAGGTGCACTAGATTGTGTGGAGCTTTGTATCATCTAAACTATGGCAGTATATAGATGAAATGTGAATCCTGAGTAGACAAAGTTATCTTCGTGTCAGGCTAATATTGTTACGGAGATATTTTAAGCATTAAATTGTTCACTCTATTATTTACAACGATGTGCTTAAATTTGTCTTTGGAGATAATAATGAGCTACTCTTGAGTCATTTGACTCAATATTTTCTAAATTAGCACACCAGATAAAATATTCCTTGTCCTTATTTGAGTTTTAGTAACATCTTCATGCCTATTTTTGCTAAGAATTGGAGCTAGTGTTGAAAACACGGGGCAGAGAGATAGGCTCACGGCATGTCTCAGTAGACAAGCAAGAATGATCAGAGGCAGCAAGAGGAACATAAGGACAATCATCACCATTGGATGGGACCAAATTTGTTTGGGCAGTGTTCTTCAGTAAGTGTGTGAAAGCACAGAGTAAGAGGGTGTTTACTTCACTGAGGGTGTCAATTCTCTGCAAATCCTCACAACAGAAGCAATCTAAGGCAAACCAAAAGCAAACCAAAGACGTCCAACAACATATTAAGGTGAAGTCAGAATTGTGGGTACTCATTGACCACTGCCACATTTGAAAACATAGAACTGACATTCTTCTTTAAAAAAGTTTCTTTAAAAACTTAAGCTATATAGGGACCCTTTTAAATGATCCTTTTGCAGTGTACCACAGGTAAAAATTGTCCTTATAATAGATTAATAACATACATTAATGCATTAGCATAATCCAAAAGTACTAGTTGTTTCCTCATTCATCAGTTCATAAAGGTCCATTCTGACAGAGGTTGTGTGTAGATTAGTGCTGTTGCATTGCTCTTTCTTACTAATCATACAGTCATTTTAGATGGACAGTTTACAATAGACTAAAAGTCTACATTACCAAAAAGATACAACAATACAATCAAGAGTTTTGTCCTGCAAACAGTCTGCTGCTTGCTTGTTTGCAATTCTACCCAGTATGCTTAGCTAGATTAGGGTTAAAGAAATAAATGAGTGTTTTTGTAAAGCAAGCCCACTCACCAATATTTACACTCGAGAATTTGTTTGAAAACGTGGTGGTAGGTTCACAGATAAAGTTGTTTATATACGTAGTATATATACTGTAACTTATTGTACTTACTTAAGTTTGATGATATAAACTGCTCACCTTTACTGATATTCTGTTATTTTGACTAAGAACTAGAATACCTTATACTCTCCACATTTCACTTTTTTTGTCACAACGTCACATTCTCTCTACAATCCTCATCTCTGTTTTGCAATCTGCTCTCTCACTCCATCCTTCTGTGTCAACTAGATGAGTTCAAGTCTTTCCTGAAGAGGCTGCCCTCCACTCACTTCCTGCCCATCAGCAGTGTGCATCTCCTGTGGGGCAGCGACTGGGACCTTCAGGCCCGTTACAGGCTCCTTCAGAGTTCCCTCGAGATCCAGCGGCTCAAGATTCAGCGCACTGCCCGCAAGCTCTTTGGCCTCAGCATCCGTTGTCACCACAACCCAAACCACCAGATGCCTAGGGAGAGGTGGGTAGAAATACAACCTCCGGATCATGAAGGAAATTATTTATATTTTTGGATATTTTATTTTCCAAGTGCTGGAAAAGCAAATGCAAAAATGTTTCCCACATAGGAGTGACAACTTTCAGCAAAATATATCCTCTGAGATGATGAAGGTTTTATTTTGATTGTTGCTTCTTGAAGCATGCACAGTAAGGATGACATCCATTATATATTTCAACTTATGGTTCTGTTGTTTCTGTCCATCAAGTCAACTTAGTGCTGAGCCTTGCACATGCCCAAAGCACTCTTGCTCACTCTTGTATTTCACATTGCAGTCTAAAAAGAAAATGTAGCTGTGGGAGTTTTCTTGATAGGTCATTGCACACATCTGTCACCACCTACTGCAGTTGCAGCTTAAGAGCCTTGCTGCGGATGTGCCATGGTGTCAGCGCTGCCTGAAATGCCAGGAATTTCCCCATTCGTTCTAGCAAATATCAGAAAACACTGCAAAATATGCAAAGTTCTAGACTGGCACATGAAACGTCCCTAAAACTGTTCTGTATAGGGGATGTCACCATATAAATGGAAACAGAATCCATAAAATATTCATTTAAGTGGTCTGAAAATGAGCAGTTGTCAACCGTCACCGGCAGAAAAGGAGCACACCCACATTTGTGTGTGAGAGTTGGCAGAGGTTTGTTCTGAAGTGTTATCAAAGAGGCGCAGTACGCGCTTCCTCTTCCATGGAGTACGCATCAAGGGTGCCTGATGGCACTGGAAATAAGAGCAGCGTGTTTATTTGCTTGCTTGTGTGAGACAGCTTTGCATTAGATGGAGGACTTATTTGTTTTTATCACATTTGTTTGTGTGTGTGTGTGTGTGTGTGTGTGTGTGTATCTGTCACTTTGCATACATTTGTGAGTGGGGTATAAGTGGTCTATAGCTCACACAGAGGTTCTAAACAATGCTTCATTGTTATGTTTTTATGGTCTACTGAAAATAATTTTGTTTTATTTCATCCTAAGTATCATTAACTCACTATTGTGTCATACATTAATGTCTAATGAAAACTAACAATAATGTTATCAATATTCAATTGTATTGTAAGAGGTAGTATATTAAAAGGCTTTTTTTATTACATATTTGTGAGTTTGCCAAATGCATGTGTATAGTTAGTATAGTCCTAAGAGCTACTTGTCTCTTCCTTTGTCCCTGATTCATGAAAAAATCCCCATCATCAACAAGGACTCCAACTCTCACCTCTCCTCTGGGCAGCATATAACAGCTGATCAGAGGATGAGGGAATTGAGGCAAAGCTGAAGGCCCATAAAGCATCAGCCCAAGTGTTTTCAAGTTGCGTGCCAGCCACCTCAGGGAGGCCTTCCAGCACATATTCAACCTGTCAGTGAGACTGCAGAGGGTGCTGATGATGATGTGAAAAACATTGTGCCTGGCCCCAGTGGCCAAGAATGGGCACACCAGAGTTCTAAATGACAGCAGGCCAGATCCCTTGTGAGAGACCGTTTAGATCCCCTCCAGTTCATACATCAGGCCCACAATGGGGAGGATGATGCTGTCATCCACCTGCTATTCTGTGTGTACTCCCACTTGGATGGGCACTGTAAGAATCACGTTCATTGACTTCTCCAGTGGTTTCAACACCATCCAGGCTCCTCTACTGGGAGAATTTCCCTGAGCTATGCAAGTAGACACCCAAGTGGTCACTTGGATCACAGATTACCCCATCAACACCACCGTTTTTGACACTACACAGGTGGCTGATCAACAAGTGGGAAACACCGCGGCTCCTCATGGGGCTGTACTATCTTGCTTGTCCATTAACCTTCACATTTTAGACTTTAGGTACCATTTAGAATCATGCTATCTTCAGAGGTTCCCTGAATATGTGCTGATAGTGCAGTGCATCTGTTAGGGGAGGAAGGAGAAATACATGGATCTGACAGGGAGTCAAGCCTATCAAATCATTAGGGACTCAAGGTAACCAAGATAAGAGAGATGATGGAGTACTATTGTGGATACTAATAAGAAAACTTTAGTATCAGTATCACAGTATCTAAAAAGGCTGTGGTTGTACCATGGTGCTGCAGGTGGCCAATGCAGTGTTTTGCAATGTGCTAGAAAGGTAAAACCTTTAGTGATACTTTGTTGCCAAGGCAACTTAGTTAAGTATAGTTCAGTCATGGAGGTGAGCTCGGACTCACAAGATTTTTTGAATAATACATCTACTTGAGTGACCTACTACCTCCTTAATAAACCATGTTTATCATGCACACACTGTCAGCGCAGGCATAATTGTGAACACGAGTAAATGTACAGTATATTTATAGCTAGGTTACAAAATAAATGTACATATAGAGGTACTATAATATGCAGTCAGTGATAATGTATTGACAAATGCATTCTCAATGAACTAGTTCCTCTTTAGTTTCATTTTAGTCTTACATGCAGTCTTAAATCATCCATATTATGGCAGTCCTCCTACGCTTTTAATGTAATTAAATTATGGATGCGAAATAGAGGAAGGGGAAGTTATTTATTATTATTAATTGGAATTATTATGATGTAAACTTATGTTATAAAGTTAAACTTAAAGACAGGTATCAGATGCATTGTTGGTTGGCCATAATTACAAATGCATATCACCACCTTAACATTTTTCAAGGTTTACTTCACCACAAAGCATCCATTCATTACAAGCATCGTAAATTGCTGTTGTGAACACTCACTGCAATAACTGTGTGGAAACTTTATAGCTCAACTATATTGGATTTGCTATTCCATTTCCTGTAATGAGTATAGCAGCTTGCTTCAAGTAGAATGAACATAGCAGTTTGTCTTTGGTATAAATGATTAATAGTGACAGATATGAAGTATCATCACTCCCAGCCAAATCATTTGCATCCAGGGTATGCATTGGCTTTAATTATTCATGTTCAAAGTCAAACATATTTACAAATATGAATGTACCCTCATGTGATGAATTACTTTGCCCTAATTTTTAACAATTTTGATGTTACATGCTTAAACATATTCTGTCCAAATGTGTGTATTGGGTTTTATATTGCAGATATACTGTCATCATCATTGAAATCATCAAAGGTATTCTTTCTCATACTGAGCCCCCAAACTGCTTTAGCGTTAGCTCGCATCTAGTTTTGCCTTCCCTCACAATGCTTTTTTAAATTCCCCAGAGGGGCAGAGCCAGACACTGTAAGCATTCGGGGCTTAGCCCATATCTACTGGGGTTCATTTTTTCCCCATTTACGACAGCCATACACACAGTTTTTCAAGCTGAGATCATAAAAAGGCCTGAAAATTAAATAAAACATAATTTGTCTAATTGTTCTTCAAATGCCTTCATAATTTTGGGGAAATATTTGAGAAAATATTTTGGGGCTGGAGCAACCTCCCCCTGCTCCACCCATGATTCCCACCAGGTCCAGGAAAGTTAGTGTGTTGGTCCAGTAATACACTGACAGTTCGTAGATACCACAGAAAGGAGAGAGGATGTGATACTTTTCATTACACATTTATTGCTCATTACTCCTTTCAAAAGGCCAAGCTCTGGCAGTGTAAAACCACTGGCTGTGAGGTGCTTATATCAGATATGACAGATGTGTTACCAATACACCACAGGAGTTCGGGAATAGAGTATCTTCATTACATCAGTAAGCTAGCAAAAACATGTCAATTCAATGTACACATCACCATCCCCTGCAGTGTTAAACCTATTATAAACTAATGTGTCTAAGCCATAATTATAACAACCAAAGCACAGCCATGGCTACAGATAAAATCACAGCAACATCAACAGCCAATATGTCATCCTGGCTACAGTCAAAATTACAGCTGGAGCCTGTGTCAGTCAGCCTCTGCAGCAGGCGGTGAGAGAGCAAAGTCAACTAGTTCTGCTAGTTTAGCTGTAATGATAGAGACTTGTGCCTGAACATCCACAGCTGAGGGTGCATTCGCTCGCCCCGGGGGCCACAAGCAGCAGAAGTATGCTACAAAATACATATTACTATATCTTAATGCAGCCAAGCATTTCTCTATGGATCAGAGAAATCACAAAACTCAATGCAGGGAGTATTGAGGGGTAATGCAAAAACACTTTTCAGTGGCTCCATACTCTCATACAATTAATTAGTACCAATAATTACTTACCATTTTCTTTTGTGTTTCCCATCTGAAGGTCTTTCTTTTTTGTTTTCTTTGATCAGAGGCATATTCCACTATCCTGCTCTGATGATGTAGAAGGGAGCAATGATATATGTCATCTGAATACCAGGGATGTTTAATGCCCCATTAAATTATGCTCGAATTTTTGAAAGCAAACAGCATCCATTCCATTGTATTTTCATTTAATTTCCTATGGCAAATCTAAGCCAAGCCACTGCTTTAGATGGAAACAAATAAGGCAAAAATAAAACTATCTGCATGATACACTCAAATAGCTTATTGAGGGAGGCAGTTATATGATAGAACATATTTTAGTTCCATATCTCTGACTGGATATTTCAGCAGTTATTGCAAATAAATTCAAAGCAGGGATCATTATGGCTCTGCCTGTGTCCAATGCAATAATGAATAGCCAATGAAAAAATAATGAGAATAGTTTTATATTCGAGGCACCTGTGAATCCAATCTCTTTTGTATGGCATTTACAATGAGGCAAAGATTTGAATGTTCTTAAACAAACAAGGAAAAACTGTGTGAGAAGTGTTGTGCATTCTAAAATATGCTGAACTATCAGATGTCCAACATGTCACATCAATGTTAATGGTTGACCAAGTTTGATCTATATCAGTTGTGTATAAAAATACACCTCAGCAGCTAAATATTTTTTCTTCACATTAAACACACTGCAAAAGAGTTTTGTATTTGTATTTAGTAGTAGCAATGTGTTGGTATTTTCAAGGTATGATTAATCGCTGAAATAACCAAGTATTTGGAATTATCATTAATTAAAATAAAACCTTCCTGAAATACAAGAGCTGAGATATACATCATGATTGACTTAGATTTTATCAAACCTGACACAACCTGCACTTGTAATAACACTAAATGCACTAAAAATGCCATCAAATCAAACCATATTGTTTTATTTTAGTTCAAGACAGTTGACTAGAAATTACAGGATATTGTCTATGTTTCTTTTATGTACAGTGTATCCGTTAGTTCATGTTTAAATGTTCTAATATCTTTTGCGTGTTAACAGCTGTGCAACCGCTGTGGTTGCCACTCCGCCAAAAACTGCAGTTTTTTACTAATACACTCAATGTCAACGTTTTTGCTACTTGCCAGGTACGTTAATTAACAATATTTCCTCACTATGTTAATAATAAAGAAAATGTTATTTGGTTGGCATCACGTTTCCCTTAACAGTTATATGCTGTTGGAAATGAGTTGTATATAAAGACTTCTAGAAGACTAAATAAAACAGATATACTGGCACATCTCTTATTTGGTAGCTCCTTTTATATTTAACTGACAGCAAACACAAGCTAGAAGAAGGTAAAATGATACACCCATCTCTATAAAGGCACTCGAGGCCAAACTGCTGAGACATCTTATCTTACACAACACTTTATTCAAGAAACTGCACACAGAAAAAGAAACCAAACTCATGGGCAAATTATTGAAATTACATCAGCACTATTCAGTTTCTGCTTCACCAGATTTAATATAAAGACAATACATCCTCCCCAGATTGAATGCAATCTACTTTAGTCCATTGAACAACTAGCCTTCTGAGTAATGCATTTTGCCAGTGAGAGAGTTGGCAAAATTCAACCACACTAAATTAAGTGAAATGCTGAATCCAGATTACACTTAATCCATAGGAGATAAATAACATATTTAAATCCTTTCATATGAAGTTATAATCTTCAGAACCCATCAATGATTTATTGCTTAGTGTATAGGGAGTTTACTGGATGCTAATAGCTTCTTGAGGGTTATTTCTGTCAATCAGATAGGCTTTATGAAAACACAGTATTCTTAAAGAATATATCGACGTCATGTATACTCACAGCACACTTATTTTTGTTCTTGACATGACATCAGTTCTAGTAATTTTGCATTTGCACTTTGTAGCATTGAGCTACTTGTGAGAGGTTCACACATTTATTTCTACCTATTATTCCTAACTGCTACAGCAACAGTACTATAAAAAACAATTTCAAGAAACACTCAAAGGAAAGTTGAGGTTGGAATGTATGGAGAGTAACAGCTGGTAGACAATATTTAAATTACTTTACATTACAAGCATTCAATGACCACTGGATCTGTTTTGTCTGGGAGAATCAATTTGAAGCCAAAGTTAGCGGAATCAAACAGTATGTTTCCATTGTCCTCTATAGATGATCTGTTCTGGGCTCATTTTGGGTATAGCTTGGGGGCTTTCTGGCCTGCTGAGATTGCAATGTCATCCATCATAGTTAATGCTTAGGTTCATTAACATGTCAAGCTAACCTTGACCAGCCCTCCTCTCCCTAAAAATCAGGATTCAGAATTCACCTCCTACAGTCAGAAAATAAGTTCCAATACTGTCACGATGACAAGGAAAGATGCCTGAGGGGAAAAGAAGAGACAAGATAAGAATAGCAAGTAATGCCTTCCACCTGAGGGAAATAACTCAACCCCTCCCCCTTGAAGGGAAGAAATGATCCTATTCACTGACTAGAAGGTTTAATTGTACTGTATATATGGCTGCCAACAATTTAACAACAAATTTTGTTTTGTTTTTATATATCATCCGTCATTGGTTTCCATTTATTTTAGTATGGTTATTTCAACTAAGCTAAGTTTAGATAAGACTTGGTTGGTACAGTAATCCACTCCATTTATTATTATGGGTTAGTGTATGCTACGGCACCTTTGAGTGGTATAGAAGGTCAAATGCTTTGAAAAGTTTTCCAAAGCTTTTAAGTGTATTACCACACAGTTAAAATAATTCAATTCAATAAAAAAAACACATGTCCATGGTGATAGACCTTCTGGAAAATGTAAAAATCAAATCTAACAAAAATAGTGATGATGTAAGGCTTTGAACTTTCTGACCACTACTAATGTTTTTTTTTATTTTTTTTTTCTCCTCTCTCTAGGTCTGTAATGCAGTGGCTCAATAGGGTTCAGTCCTTCCTCTACTGCAATGAGAATGGGTTCTGGGGAACCTTCCTGGAGAGCCAAAGGACATGCGTGTGCCACACAGGTGTCACCCTATGCCAACGACCCATCCCATGTGTCATAGGTGGCAACAACAGCTGTGCCATGTGCAGCCTGGCCAACATCTCACAATGTGGTTCCTGCAACAAGGGCTACAAGTTGTACCGTGGTCGCTGTGAGCCCCAGAATGTAGACTCAGAACGTAGCGAGCAGTTCATCAGCTTTGAAACTGATCTGGACTTTCAGGACCTGGAACTCAAATACCTGTTACAGAAAATGGATTCGCGACTGTACATTCACACTACCTTCATCAGTAATGAGATCCGTCTAGAGACCTTCTTTGATCCTCGATGGCGTAAGCGCATGTCCCTGACTCTCAAAAGTAACAAAAACCGGATGGACTACCTCCACATGATAATCGGTCTATCAATGAAGATCTGCCAGATGCGAAATAGCAGCATTGACCCCATGTTCTTTGTTTATGTCAACCCATTCAGTGGTAGCCACTCAGAAGGCTGGAGCATGCCCTTCGGGGAACATGGTTACCCACGCTGGGAAAAAGTACGACTGCAGAACTCCCAGTGCTTCAACTGGACTCTCCTCTTGGGCAACCGGTGGAAGACCTTCTTTGAGACGGTTCACATCTACCTGCGTAGCCGTGCTAAAATCCCAACAGGTCTACGCAATGACACAGGACAGGGTCCAGTGGACCTTGCAGACCCTAACAAGCGCCAGATCTACATAAAAATATCTGATATCCAAGTGTTCGGCTACAGCCTGCGCTTTAATGCCGACCTGCTCCGTAGTGCCGTGCAGCAGGTTAACCAGTCGTATACACAAGGAACTCAGTTCTACTCATCCTCATCTGTTATGCTCCTGTTACTGGACATTCGGGATCGGATTAACCGCCTTGCCCCTCCATCTGCACCTGGCAAACCCCAGCTGGACCTCTTCTCTTGTATGCTAAAGCATAGGCTCAAGCTCAACAACAGCGAGATGATTCGAGTAAACCATGCCTTGGACATGTACAGCACAGAGATACTAAAACAATCAGACCACCTGACTGCTAAACTCTGTTGAACATAGTAACATTAACATAAGGACAGCAAAAAGAAACACCCAACAAATGAACTATGAGGGGACATTAATCTTAATTTTGTTTTCTCTTTTTAATTTTTGGACCTTTTCTGCCTTTTGATGTAATATTAACTTTGTAAGCATAATTCTTAAAGAGAAAAAGGAAAAAGGCAATGATGAAAAGCATTTCAGGCAGATAAAGAAGATTAATGGAACCACTATAAGGACTGTATCATATTTGTCCCAGCATGTCTGTCATTCCCTAAAAGAACTTAAAAGAGAGAAAAAAAAATTAAATCTATGTACTGGTGAAAAAGAGGCCTTGATTTTACTCTGAGGGATCAAAAGGTTATATCTGAAACTGCCATTCTTTACTGAGAAAAACATTTTTAAAGGAATAATGACACAACACAAGGGCAGACCAGATATCCTTTTATTTCAGCTAATGTGCAAAATATTTCAGACATAATGGACAGTTTAATATTAAAAATGTTTATACATTGTAAGGATTAAATAGCCCTAGTGAGTAAGTAGTCAACACATTACTTATAGACTCTTTATTACATTTCAAACCCACAGCAAATCTGCATTGCTCTTTGTGAGTTATAAGGCACTCTGTCATTGTTCTGACACATAAGGCACACAGCAGGGCAGTAATGGATAGTTATGTCAAATAACAAAAGCCAGCTGTTTATATATACATATATATGTGGATGAATGTGTGTGTATGTGTGCGTGCGCGTGTGCAAGTGTGCGTACACCTTTTTTTGGCTTGATGCTTATTGCTGTTCGTTAATTGAATGTGTCATTTGAGATTGACTCCAGTCTAAGCTAAATCTTGCATTTGGAGCGCTTCTTCCCGTGTTTGAAATTCAAGCTGTGTTTTCCACAAGGCAGTACCTCCTGGTGCGTGAGTGCAATATTGTGGTCTGAAGATTTAACAATCAATGCTATTTTGTACAGCTTTGCAAAATGTACATGTTGTGACTGCTGATTTGTGGAGCTTTTTAGCACCAAGAGCAAAGTGTAAACATTCATCATTCAGGCACATTTGCAAGACAACCTAAAGCCATACACTTCCCTGAGGTAGACATACAGTAAGACATAAACTTCATCCCCGTCTCACAAAGTAAGTACTTCATAACATGAAAAAAAGTGTTCCATTTGTATGTTTTTATTTTATTCTCTCAGTTTTTAGATAAGAGCACAGCAAAAAGACAGATGACAAGAGAAGGCATATTATGTTGGATAAGAATCGTGTTGTAAAGCCATTGAATTTCTCTGTTGTGCCACAGGAAAAAAAAAAGAAAAAAAAAGAAATGGTTATATTAAAGCTTAAAATACCTTTTTGGCAGTGTTTAATCTGTAAGCTTTTTATGACCACATGTAAAGATTTCAGTTTTTCTTTCCAGATATGAAATTTAACCTTGTTTAGCATGTTGCTGGAAGCATCAACAAAGCTGCAACTTTGTTTAATGGTCATCAAACTGAAATATGAAACACTACCTATGTATTGTTGGTCACACTTTATTTGGGTAATCTGATGCTGAAACATTGCTATTGCTGATGACTTTTTGTAGGTACAGTCCATCCCATGCATGTTTGTTAACAGCAACAAAGGCAAGGTCACTCATGTCATACAACCTAGCAGTTGTGGCCGTATTAACTTAAAAAAGAGGAGACTTCATATTTGCTGCCATGACACCCAAACATCCTCCTAGTGTAAAAGCTGCCAGCTCAGTTGCAAGCTTTTAGAATAACATCTGGAAACACATAGGTTTTCAAATTATTTTATTGTTTTTTATGTCTTTTCTCTTGATAGTTACTTAGGTATTGTTTGTTTACTTATATGTGTTCTGTTAAATCATTGTGATACTATGACAAAGCTAGTCAGTCAAGTCAGCTATATCTAGGAACAGCCATGATGGGTTGTGACCTAAATGTGGGTGGGAACAGCAAGGAACCTGTAAAAACAGGTTTGGAATTCCTTAACCAATTTAACACCTCTTAAAAACAATGGTCAAAATTGGCGGCAGTGATTTAAGCAAGAAATAGCGGCGCCCCTTGAACAAAACCTGTTTTTGACTCTTATGGACGTAGCTTTCTCAACTGCCGATTTAACTACATCCACAATCACAACTTTAGTAGTTGTCTCTAGATATGCATTCTTGTCATGATTATGTCTGGCTTTGTGTGACAATGATTTACCTATATTTTTTTATTTTGCTGTTGCCAGTCTTTTTGTAAAGCACTTTTAACTCATTAGAAGTGCTTTATAAGTAACAACTTAGTCATTCACTTAAAACTGAACTATGATGTATTACTACAAATCTCACCTATTTCATGTGATTCAGTAGTCTGGAAAATAGTTTATCGATTTCCAATGTATGGGTTAGCGCACATGGAGTGGCCAGTTCAGGCTCAGGTTGTCAGGCTCAGCTCTATGTTATCTAATTAACCTTACAGTACAATACTTTCATCAGTCTATATCTTTGTCAGGTTAATAGCATCAATTAAGGTCATTTAAGTGAGTGAGTAGTCACCTCTGCAGTGCTATTATTTCCAATTTGCATAGGTAAGGATCAGCAGCAAGGAGAGAGGGGGTATCTGGTCTGGTGTATATCAGTAAAATGTACTGTTTCATGACAGGTGCATCTGCTTGTGTGTAGCTGCTAACTGCTAGCTGTTTCAAAGAGCCATGTACTAGGTTTCCGGTTCAGTTGTGATTTTTGAGCTTATTAGCTTGCTAATGTCAACACAGTAGACGCATTTGCAAATATGTTAGCATCCATAGCATTACAACTGTAACATGTGCATGCAGTGTCTCCTAGCTTTGTTCAAAAAGATGTAGAGCTGATTTTGACATACTGAAGCTAAGTGTAACAAGCCTGAGATGGCCACAAGCTTGTAATCAATAGAGATGCCGTAACTAGGGACTTGATTGTTCAGCATCGACATTGGACTATCCAAATGAATTGTTACCTTATTATTATTATTTTTATTATTATTATTAAGTGCCTGTTATCTATCCCTTTAACACATTTAGAGCTGGAGAAAACGTTTAGATGTTACACAGATGAGTGACACTGTATTAGCTGCCGAAGTTAAGACCATTAATGTTGATCAAATATACACTTTTCATCTCCTCCTGAGAACTACGCCTTCATGGAGGTTTGTGCATGTGGGGAACTGAACCACCAGATAGAGACAAAGAGACAAAGGATGACTTGAAGTAATTGTGGATATTTTTTTGTCCCCTGTTGTACAGTATATCTGTAAATATTAACTCTGTTACAGTAACAATTCTATGCTACAGTAACAATATTATAAAATATAACAGTATTGAAAGGGAATACAAAGACTACTTCATAAAAGGCCCTCCATTTGAGTACATTGGCACAAAGTACAGGGCACACATGTCTTGTGTATTTAATTATATTCATGACAATTTATGACTGTTTTTGTATTTTCAAAACATACTGTACATTACAATTTAGTTTTGAGCCACTGCAAGGTCCATAAAACAAGCACATTTACTCGTATGGCATTATGCTACCACAGTGTTGCTTACATGTATCCATGGATATGTCTGAAGATTTTTACACCTAATACCTTGCCTATGTACTTTTTTGCTGTTCTGTTGAGATCATTATATCAGCTTATTTCAAATGAATGTTTCATATAATAATCTATTTCTCATTAAAAGGCTATATTTAATAAGAAGAGCAAGGCTTGTTTGTACCCTTTCCCTTTATAGAAACTATTATTAATATTTCTCACAAAACACTGAAGCACATACTCTACATAGAGTATTTACCAAATCCTAAGAGCAAGCTAATTTTAGTGTATAGTCCAAGCATTGCCAAGATACTTTCTCTTAACTACAGCCTTTAGTTCTATAGAAGGTTTCAGCATGAGCATTATCCTGTCTCTGAAGTCTGCTGATAACAAAGATTTCTTCCTTGGCCAACCAGTTCTTTGTGTGGCTTCTCATTTTATTGTTTGCTGAGTGCAGTGAAAGAAATGATGCTTGTGCTCAAGGTTTCACATCCAGTAAGGGGGTGGCATTCATCACGACCACATTTAGTATTTATTTCCTTATCGTAATAGTTCTGTCCATAAATTCATCCACTTAATCATGGGCTGCTTTTTTCTTTGCAGACATCCAATAGCTAAAAGCCCACCTACAAGCATTGGAGCAGAAGTGTTCTCAGTCTTTAACATGTGTACAATAAAGTATGCCCCCACATGTGAGAAATATGTAAGCAGCTACCTGACAGCTGCACAAACAACAGGAATATCTTTTAGAAAAAATGTATTAACTTGACATGTATCGTACAAATAACGTTTGTTATCAGGCATTCACATGCATTTCAAGTGTTTTATTGATCATTTAAAACATTCAGTTCTTTTAGCGATGCTCAGAGGCCTCCTAGATAATCCTTCACTGAGGAGACTCAAGGCTGTTGTTTTAACGTGTACCAGTATTAGGCTATATACAGTATACTTATATATTAGTAAACTGTGTAGTAGTAATCTTAGTAGTATATAATAGTAGAGTATTTAACATGGCATATTACAATTTGTGTAGATTATAACATATGTCATGATATAGCCATTTTAACCAAAAAAGATTTGATTACATTTGATTAGATTAAAGATGACAATACAATGTATTCCTGCTGCAAGCAACTGCTATAGTCTACCACTATACATTTACACAAAATTCACATAATAATGATATGAATTTAAACACATTTTGAGTGTGTTATTTTTATGTTGCATCACAGAAAACAGTCATTTGACTATTCCTCATCCTTCATTGAGCTCCATTGGGGTAATCTATGTGCAGCTATGTCACACGCCATAAACTTCCATATGCCACAATACAATGAACTATGGTGTGAGTTACTGAGTTTTGGACATATTGGCTGTAGACTAGATATCCCTTGGCTTGTGGTTCTCCAAAGTGGCAAAAAAAATACATTTGAAGGAAGCATTTTTTGAGCTAGCTAATGTTACAAGTCACCTGAGGAAGATGCCATTAATATTCAAATACCGCACTGTCACAAGCTTTAGCCTTACATCTTACGAATTGGTACACACTTCCTTTTGTACTGTGATACATAGAAAGAAAACAGACACTTATGTGAAAGTGTCTGTCATTGATCTTGAGTACGTATCTTTGGAGCTTTGAGCAGCGCAAGTTGAGTGCCACCTGGTTCCATTATATTCGAGAGAAGGCAGACATCTGTATGGTCTATATATCTAAAACTCAGCAACACACCAAAACAATTTTCAGTTTACAAAAAAAAAATATTTATTTTGATTTTGGGGTAAACTGTCCTAAAAACTTATGCATTTACTTTTCAGGTTATAGGGACCGAGATTTACCCTCAAGTCTACATTTGCTTCCATGCATGACAGGTGGACTTAACTTACTTTGCCAGTCTTCATGTGTGCTGACTATTTTCTATATATTGGAGTTCATTATTTGAAGTGTATTTGACTAGCAGAATCCTGTGTGCCTCTGCAAGCTATAGTTACCAACATGTAGTCTACATTCCTGACATTCTACTGAAAATGCAAAAACCTGGCTTCCCATCTGTCAACTCTGCCAGCTGTGATGGTTTAAATACTTGGTCAAGCCAATGAAACCTCTGCCAGTGATTGAACCTGCAGGTTTCTGCTGTAGTGTGCCACCTGGACACACCTCTCCCATGCATTAAGGGCTATAAACCCATGTTCGGCAGTGGGTGTAGTAGGCCTACTTATCAAAAATGTATCCATGAAACACTCAGAATGCACAGGGAAGGCAAGGCATATATAATGATGATCCCTAGTTACAATAGATGTCATATTACATTTTACATAACATATTGCCAACAGGATCTAGGATATAGTAATACAAAACGCAAAATGTAGTAATTAAAAAGGTCTTATAGTTAGTCAATATTAACATTCATATTGCCTTTTATTATTACAATATTACAATTACATTATGTGAACAAGCTACAGAGATTAGGTTTGTTTTTTGTACATCTGCATTGCAAATTTTTCGGTAGATACATGTACAAAACATCATAAGACTGAACATAATATTCTTAAAGGGGGAAATGTTTTATATGATGGACATAAATGATTGCTTAGTTCCCCAGAGTTTCTTTCTTTTTAAAGGAAATGGTTCTGTCTTCCCAGGCTGTGATTTGAACTAAAAGGATGCAAAAAGAAACTGAGGGAAAGCTTTTAAGATAATTCGATCTAAATGCAATAAAAGTGAAGTGGCTGTTCAAATCACTACTACGTACAGAAATTTCCTTGGTTGCCATATGTATATATTTATCCAGGGAGCTTTGCACTTGAGACACTCAGCAACCAAGATTCTAAGCTACTGAAAAAAACAAGAAAAAAAGTCAACATCCAAGAACAATGTAATGCCAATTTTATGACTAAGCTGCATTGCAGTGGTTGTTATCTTATCCTCCATGAATCGACAGAAAGCGAACAAAACACACTGGGTTCCACTTCTCTTTTCTTAATTTCCAGCTATGAATAGCTGAAAAGTTATTGTAATCCAATGATCTCAAGTGAAGCACATGACTTAGCCTTCTCTTTCATGTTAAAATACAGTAGCGACTGATACTGAGTTTCTGAGCTTGATCTTTACGGTAATTGAACAAATGTTGTAAATTAGTTTGTTGTCAGCAGTGAGATTTCATAAATAAGAGAAAACAGGAAGTGGAAACAATTTTATTTTCAACTCTTAAGGAGGCTAGTAGCATTGGAGTTCTGTGGTCACTTTGCAGAGTTCCTGGCTAGATATGGCAATTTAACGGACCAATAGAACCAAACAGAAACTACTCCCCTATAACATTTGTCCAATTAACAGAAAGACCAAGGCCAGAAATGCAAACTACAAAGCACAAAAAAAGACAGCCAGTACAGTCACGCTGAATCTGTTATATTGGATTCAAATCAAATTTCTTTGCATTCCACAATGTAGCTCTCATCAAAGCTGTCATATTTTGGAATGAAAATCATTTTGGGTTTACTGGATGGATGGATTGCAATTCAAAATGTCTTTGTGCTGTACGGACAAAATGAATCCCATGCGATTGTCACAAAGGCATTGCACCCAAATCTGACTTCAGGAATAGAATAAGAAATACAAATCGTCAGTTTAAAGATATTGCTACACACGTGAAAATGCTGTTGGAAAAGTTGGAGTGTTATTTGCCTTCTGTGAAGAATGGGAACTATGACCAGGTTTGTAATCCTTTCAATTCCCTAAGATCAGAATTTTTAAAAAGAATTTCTCAATAAAAGCTCAGAGGAAACATTCAAACCTTGATAAACTGGCTTGTGAAGAAACATATATAGGTTTTGGCTGTTTGTGGAACAAAAATATCCATCTTTGTCCAACTACACAATCAGTGTTCTAACAAAGTTATTTGTGTGAGCTTGCATATTTTTTTTAATATAATTTTATCTTATTAAATATTTATGTAAAATGTAACAGTGTAATATGTTGCATAATTAGAAAATGTTGCATGGGTGGCATACGGCCAGTCCAAAGCATCAGTAAAACAGAAAACACAAAGAGGTTTGATACTGATGAAGATACTGATATTCAGCAGGCTTGGTTAGAGACCTCCAAATTCTGTCCATACTCATATAAATATTGCATCTGGCCCCTTGGGTAAGATTTCTTGATTTCTTGTCACATGATTTGCTTTGTACATGAAAAGACCCATTGAAACACTATCACCCTGGATCTTGGAGTATGCCTGTTTCTGATGTAACACTTTACTCACAAGCCATTGTATCTGATCCTTATGACATGAATTCTAATTTGAACTGCTCTAACATACACTAACCTTGTGGAAACTTAGAGCACCAACACTCACTCAAGTGGAACATTTTGTATATCTGTTTAAAGCTCCCTAAAGCTAATTTATAAGCAACATTCAGTCTCAATAAATGTACTTGTGATAATTGCTTTACTATCAAGGGAGAGCTACAAACGTGAAACCCCCCCGCACCGAATTACAGAACTCATCAATGCTGATAAAGATAATCATTACTTTCTTTTTGACAGGATAGCTTTTTTAAAACCTTCTCAGTGACCACCACCATGTATCCATGTTTACCGCGAATGATTTCTTAACGTTTTGCACTGACACATTTGATTTTCTTAATGTTCTTCAATTGCAAATAATTGGCCTAATCAGACGTGAAACTTTCAATTTAACTAATGAGGTCTTTCTAAGAATGCACACCTACTGCTTTGGTGCCTGCTAACACATTCTCTCTATGAGAGACAGGCTCAGGAGACATGATTGCCATTAGTATATCTTGCTTTACTAATATCTTACCTGTTTAGCCAACTCCCTGCCAACTACAATTAAGAGCTCTTTCAAATGTTAGGATCTCCTTTGCAGGTGGTAACTGAACCACTGCATTAACAATTTCTTTTTACAAACCTAATCATACATTACAGGTATATTTCAAATATCTGAAATTGATAATGGGATTCATATATACTTGAGGGAATTAGTCCATTGAACTGGACTGCATTATTAGAGCTTAAAGATGTAGTGTTTAACATTTTGTAGGATCTATTGTCAGAAATTGCATATAGTATTCATAGGTATGTTTTCATTAGTGCAAAATAAGAATTGTAGTGTTTCTGTGATTTATCT